CTACCTTGTTGTTCCCTTAATTCTTTGAACCAATCAGACACTCCATGGATCTTGAAGCATGTAGTCACAGTGTGCCCTCTCATTCCACACTTATCACACAGCAGCCTTGCCTTCTCTTCTTTTGTCATCATATTCCCTCCTCTGCCTTTACTACCATGCCATTGATTCTCACATTGCCAACTCTTTCCACCATTTCCTCCTCTACCTTGATTATAAGTTGTGCCTCTGCCATAATTTTCTGTTCTGGCCACCATAGCCACATTGTCTACTCTTGTCCCAAACTCATTTTGCACTGCTCTTTGCCTTTCTGCAGTTAAAGTCATTGAATATGCCTTGTTCACAGTAGGTAATGGATCAATCAGTAGGATTTGGTTTTTCAGATTGTTATATGCATCATTAAGCCCCATAAGGTACTGAATCAATCTGGTTTCTACCTCTTGTTGCGCAGCTAGCTTCCCTTTAGCACATGTGCAGGCTTGTGTGGGCACAACACATGCATATTCATCCCACAACTTTTTTAATCTGTTAAAATATTCCATAACTGAGCTGTTACCTTGATTCAAACTTGAGATTTCTCTTTGCAGCTTATACCTCAGTGGACCATTGTTTTCTCCAAACCGCTGGCATATCTCATCCCACAGCTCCTTGGCTGTGTCAGCGTAGAGGAACGATTCTGCTATCTCCTTCGTCATAGAATTTAAGATCCACGACACCACTGTCCAATCAACCTTCTTCCAAACAATGTAATCTTCATCATCTTCATTTGATGGAATAATTTCTCCATTCACAAATCCGATTTTGGTCTTCGCACTTAACGCAATAATCATTGATCGTTTCCAAGAGAGAAAATTGTTACCGCTTAACGGATGCGTAACGAGAATCGTACCAGGACCGTCGGAACTTTGGAGCGCAAATGGATCCTGCTTTGTGTCTCTTGCCATTGCTGCAAAACCAAGCTTTTCCTGAAGATAATGAACTTCCTTCGATCGATTGCAATGCAGTTAACAGATCCTTCAATCTCGTTCACCAGGCACACCCGCTCTGGTACCATGTTGAAATCACAGTGGAATTTGGGGAGAAAAACTCCATTTTCGCTTTATTTCTTATAAAATGTTCTTAGCTCACAAACTGTACGTAAACAGTATTTAAAGCCCTAAACACATGCATTAGCACCTAAAACGACGTCGCACCAGAACCGACTCTCAACTAATAGGATACGACGTCGTTCATACAAAAAACAAGGAAAGAAAAAGACGCGACTTTATAAGTGCAGAGCACGACTTTCTACTAAACCTAAAATAACAGAAAAATAAAAGAAAAGCAAGAAACATGAAAAAAGAGTGAATAGCTCGTGAATTCCAACACATATAAAATATATAAATATATTATATTAATTAAAACGGTTCGGCCACTGGTTCGACCAGTGAATCATTTAACCGGTAGCTTCACCGGTTCGATGACCGGTTCGGTTTTGAGAACATTGCAAAAAAGTGTCTCAAAATTTTTGTTTCTTCCAGAAATGCTTTCTGGAACAACGTGCAGTTCTAGATATCGTTTCTGAAATGTAAAAAAATATCTACAAAAAAGTGTCTCAATTTTTTGTTTTTTTGTTTTGTTTATTCCAGAAATGCTTTCTGGAACAACGTTCAATTCCAGAAATCGTTTCTGGAATATAAGTGCACTATCTACAAAAAAGTCTCAAATAATATTTTGGTTAATTTCAGACACGATTTCGGGAACAATGTTCAGTTCCAGAAATGTTCCCGAAATCGTTTCTGGAATGTAAAAAAAAAAATCTACAAAAAAGTCTCAAATAATTTTTTGTTTATTCCATAAATACTTTATGGAACAACGTTCAGTTCCAGATATCGTTTCTGAAATGTAAAAAAAAAAATATCTACCAAAAAGTGTCTCAATTTTTTATTTTATTTTGTTTATTCAATAAATTCTTTATGGAGGTCTTCTACGGGTTGGTTCTTCGATAAAAACTCAACATTCAGTTCCAGAAATCATTTCTGAAACATAAAAACAATTTCTACAAAAAATGTCTCAAAATTTTACACGGTCTGAGCTAAAAAGGTCTTTGAAATTGTATTACACGGTGCTTGCTAATTTTTTCTTAAAATCTAAAATTAATGAGAAAATGTAGTTGAAAATTTAAATATATTTTATAAAAATATATATATTATTATATATTTAGTATGACACCTTTTTATTTGTACAACTTAATATTTTTTTTTAACTTACAACATATAACTACATTAAACATAAATATATCAATTAATAAATAATTTTATTTTTCTAATAAATTTTAATAAATATTAATATTTTTTATTAATATAAAGATAAATATAATTTATCTATTTCATATATACAATATGGATGTCAAATAAAAGATCATCAAAAGATGATTAATTTGATATATTATATATGTAAAACCGATAAGAAATACAAAAGTTATCAACTTTTAAAATATATTTATAATTCAATAACTAATTGAAGGAAAAATATTTTCTAGAAAATGGTTTCGAGCCGTGTGAAAGTGCTAAAAATAGTTTCTGGTTTAAGAAATCGTGTCGATCCCAGAAACGATTCTGGAACAAGAAATCGTTTCTAGAACCTAGAAATCGAATTATGCTAGAAACGATACTAGAATGAAACCGCTATCGTTCGAGTAGCGGTTAGAGGAACCCCAGAGCAATTTTTCCAAATGTTGATGTTCATCCCTTATTTGAATAGCCATCTATGATAGATTGTGAATTATTCAAAGACGTTGTCTTGGATAGAAAGGAAAACTTGTTGCTAAAATTGGGTTTATATCATTTGAAGCATAAAGTGGAGTACCGAACACCAAGATCTTCAAATTCTCGGTTAAAGGTTGTGTGAAAGCATAAGAATTGCCCATTCTTGCTTTCTGTGAATGCACTAACTGGAGGTAGTTGGAAAATTTGCAAATTTATCCATCCACATACATGTGCTATTAACCTCAGTCATTCAGCCCCACGACAATTGCCTTCTAAGATCATTGGAGCATTATTTGCACCGAAGTTGTTGACAGAGGATCGAGTATTGAAGCCTGCAGAAATTATGGGTGACATGGAGATCATGGTAATCAGCTCAAATATGATAAAGCTCTGAGGTCCCAAAATGTCGCATATGACTACATTTACGGAGATCACAAGAAATCTTGGGAACTTTTGCCCGTGTATTTTCATGTATGTGAAGGAAAATCCCGGAACATCAGCATATATTGAGACTGATAAAGATGACATGTTTTCTTTTTATGCGTCTGCAGGCTTCATCAATTATTGTGGGCCTGTGATTGTAATTGATGGTACTCATTTGAAGGGTAAGTATAAAGGCATCTGATTTGTAGCAGCTACAAAGGACGGAAATGAAGGCTATCGGGTCATTTTTTTTTAATTTTAATAAAAGCTGTAAATTTTACTTTTATTTATATCGTACCCATAAGAAAATGTTACATTGTGTTCCACTTATTGTTTCTCATATGCCTAGGAAAGCAAATGAATCGGTGTATGGATATGTTCACGAGTACTACAAGACAACAACATTGCGCAAACTTTATGAGTCCACAATCATGCCAATTGAGCATCCAACGACTTGGGACTTAACTACAGCGACAAGTTTGATGGTTGTCAAAGCCCCGATTAATCCCAAGCAAGCTGGAAGACCGAGGTTAAACCGCATACCTTCTACTGGCCCTTCTTCGAGCTCTCGAAGTAATTTATTTTGTTCACGGTGCAGCGAAAGGGGACATTACTCTACAACTTGTGTTGCAATTCTCGATAATGTTGAGCAACCAACTCAATCTGAACGGCCCGATAACAAAATTTGTTTGTGTGGTAAATGTAAGCAACCTGGCCACCGTAGGAACAAATGTCCTCAAAACATTACCTATTTCATGTTATTTGTTTGTGTGTAATTTGAATTAATGTCATGAAACTTATTTTGGTGGTCTTAGTCTCGTGGTTGAAAATGAGCATTATAATCCACTTAATGAAAATAATACGTACAATACCGGAAAGATTGTTTTTAATGTATTTGAAGTATTCACGTCCTTGTAACTACTTAGGAGACAACCCAACATCGTGATTTCTAAAAAAAAAAAAACCACATTTATTGATGATATAAATTTATTATACAGAGTGCAAATAAAATTTATTAAATAAGAAATCGTTTCTGGAGCTAAAAATGGTTTCTGGTTTATGAAATCGTTTCGATCCCACAAATGCTAGAACCTAGAAATCGACTTATGTGAACTCTTTTTTTTTTTTTTTTTTGGCAAAATTTATGTGATTAAACTGAAGATTGTATTTATTTCGAATAGTTTTTTGAAATTAAAAAAAAAAAAAGTGGGTGTACAAAATTAACCCATTAAAAAAATAATAAATTATAAACATACCTTTTAGACAAATATTTCGGAGATGTCGTCGTAAATTCACCATAATGTTGCCGGAATTGTGAGAATATGGAGAGAATGATTTTCTTTTTTAAATGAAATGGAGAGAATTGAAAGCACTGTTTTGCAACCCGGACTGACCCGGCGGGTTAACGGGACCCGGCCGACCCAGAGTTGGAACCGGTCCGGGTAGACTATTTAAACTTGGTAACAATGAACCTGGTCAAATCCTGTCAAAACCGACCAACCCAGCCTTGACCCGGTCTTTATATATATATTTTTTTTTTTAAATATTTTTTATATAAAAAATAAAATCTATGTAAATATATTAATATAATAAATATTTATTGTGAGATATAATTATTTAACACTTTGATGTATAAATTCTATATGCAAAACATTTATTTCTTACTTTTATGTATATTTATATATCAAACATACTATATATAATTTAAAAAAAATTAAATTAATTATTTGATTTAGCTGACCTGGTGGTGACCCGAGTCAATTTCCGGGGAGGGGTATTATTGAAAGTGATGGATTAGGAGATTAAATGAGACAAGAGAGAGGAAAGAGAGAGATGGGAGTATTTTATGATTCTTTTAAAAGAAATAGTAAGGTTAGTTTTGTCTTTTTAGGTGACAAAATTCTCTTGTTTGTGAAAGCACGTGTTGGAAATAAATACTATAAAAAAAACACTTTTTATGAAAAAAAGATGTACATGCTGCACACAGTGCGTGACGTGAATTCTGTTATGGGAATATAGAACGTCTGTGTATCTGACAGCTTCCCCTCTCTGCAACCGCGGACTAGCCGCACCGCACCTCAGCTCTCGTGGTTTGCACTCCCGGTGGTCCAGCCTTCACGCCATTTTGTTCACGAGCTCACCACGAGCCAGCTCCGGTCAACTTGCACCGTCCCGTCGCCGGCAAATTCGAGCCCGCACCTCAGCTCTCGTGGTTCGCACTCCCGGTGGTCCAGCCTTCACGCTATTTCGTTCACCAGCTCACCACGAGCCCAGCTCCCGTCAACTTGCACCGTCCCGTCGCCGGCAAATTCGAGCCCAGCCACCGGCGACCTCGATTCTCGTCATTCCTGTCGACTCCAGTTCCTTCCCGCGACCTCTTTCACGCCGGGAAACTCATCGAGCCGTGCGCGAGGCAGCATAATCTCAAGTAAATTCTCCAGAAATGGAACCTTTAAGATTTATTGTGGATACAATGACCAAACGAAAGTATCACATTATTTTGAAGAAGTTGAGGTTTCATTTTTCACATGGCTTATTAGGCAGGAGACCTATCTTACCTCGTGAGGTTTCATACCTTGATGTTATTTTGCAACCCAGAGAACTCTGTTCTAAACATATCATGCTGAGATTTAGAGTATCAGACGCCTACTTTGTTGCCTTTAAATCATTTGACCAGAACTGGACTCAAGTCTTATCTTCAAAGTCCGACAAGCTAACCAATTTTCCAGAATCTGCAAAAATTCTGGATATTCTAGCCAATTATACCAAGCTTTTTGAAAAGGTAGGAGAATTTTCAATAAGCACTCAGGGATTACAGGAGGCTGCATATTGTTTGGGCAAGAACGATGCAAGTCACAGCAATTACGCAAAAGCCATATTGCAGGTTTTATCATATTTTCCAGAAGCAATTCGATTTGCCCTGTTCGAAAAAATTTGCGGTAAATCATTCGAATATGTTCCGCATGTGTACGGACCGGAGCTGAAATTGCTTGCAAAGAGCTGGTACAAACTATCACTACTTTATGCAAGTGATCTAGCTGATGATTACGCGCCAAAGATCTTAGCATCGCGTGAGATCATGGTTGACGGTAAGCCGATAAGAACCCTTGGGGAGGTTCGGAAACAAATTGGAATGTTACATTCCAAATCCGACTTGTCTGATGAGAGGCGTTCTTTTTTCAGCAATGGTTAGTGTCATTGGGATGTCGTTAGTGGTTGTTGTAATTTGGATTTTTATTAGCTTGTTGGTTTTATACCATTTTAAGTTCAATTTTCTGTCTCAGAAAGGAGAATGCTGCGCCACATTGAGCGAGTTCCCTACACAAAAGAGATGCTGGACTTGGAGCTGGATTGTTGGTGCGAAGATTCCAGCAAATCTGAGGATGGAACGGAGGAGCCAAAGAATGTAGACGGTAAGATTTTCCGGCATCGTGTGAATCATTGTTTTCTTCTTAATGGTATCAACACTCTGATCTTTTGTGCAAACGTGTTGAATTTTCTGTTTTTGTAACAAGTTTGGAAGTTTTATTTTTCTGGATAGTAGATATTTCTTCCTCCATTGCTAATCTCTCAACTCCCTCAAATAACTGTATTAATATCCTCTTTGAATTTGTCGAGCAATAGAGAAAGAGAGAGAGAGCACGAAAATGGCGGATACGGAGACGTTTGCATTCCAGGCCGAGATCAACCAGCTCTTGAGTCTCATAATCAACACCTTCTACAGCAACAAGGAGATCTTTCTTCGTGAATTGATCAGCAATTCATCTGATGTGAGTGTCGATTGCCTCCTCCGTACTCTACTTGTTCTATGTATAGATCTGATTGCTGTTGGCTTTATGTCTGAATGTGTGTTTTATATGCGTGACATTGCGTGTCTACTTCGTTTCAATGCGCTTGTAGCATTGTGTTTTATGTTGAAGCTGCTTCTGTGTGTCTAATACTGTGCTGTTTACTTTAATTTGTGAGTTTTAGCTTCTGGGCACAATTGATATGGTGTTAGAAACATCTTTAAGGATTTAGTGATGGTGTGTTGATGAAGTCATGGATGGAAGGCTGAGGAATGGTGCCCATTATTAGCCCGTGTTTGCTAATTCAAATGATGGTTGGAGTTAATTGAGAGTTATTTGTTGAGTGCTTTACTCTGTAATTCAAATAAATAATTGGCTCACCTTCAATTATAGTAATACTAGCGTGGATGTTTTTTGATGCATTTCTCGGTGTTCTTGTTTCTCATGGGATGCTCAAGTGAATAATGGTAATGATAGACCTGAGTTCACACAGTGTGTGTGTGTGTGTGTCTGTGGTGACTTATGCAATTCCAATATGAATCACTGGTAATTGTCCTTATGATTACGGAATGATAAATGTAGGCTCTAGAAAAGGTAAGTAGCACTGTAAATTGTTATTCTGATTATGCAATGATGGATTCAGGCATTAGACAAGATCCGGTTTGAGAGCTTGACAGACAAGAGCAAGCTCGATGCTCAACCCGAGCTATTCATCCATATCATCCCCGACAAGACCAACAACACTCTGTCCATTATCGACAGTGGGATTGGCATGACCAAGGCTGGTTAGTACATGTTCATATAACTTAAATATTATCATTTGATATGTGAGGGGTTTCTCATGAGTTAACTCTGTTGAAAATCTGCTTGTACCTGTGTTTCAGACCTGGTGAACAATCTTGGCACAATTGCTCGGTCCGGGACCAAGGAGTTTATGGAGGCTCTGGCTGCAGGTGCTGATGTCAGCATGATTGGACAATTTGGGGTCGGCTTCTACTCGGCCTACCTTGTGGCAGAGAAGGTGATTGTCACGACAAAGCACAACGATGATGAGCAGTACGTTTGGGAGTCTCAGGCGGGAGGCTCGTTCACTGTGACCCGTGACACCTCCGGCGAACCACTTGGCCGGGGCACGAAGATCACCCTCCATCTGAAGGAGGACCAGCTTGAGTACCTTGAAGAGCGCCGCCTCAAGGACCTCGTCAAGAAGCACTCTGAATTCATCAGCTACCCCATTTCCCTTTGGGTTGAGAAGACAACCGAGAAGGAAATCTCGGATGACGAGGATGAGGATGAGGAGAAGAAGGATGAGGAGGGAAAAGTCGAGGAGGTGGATGAGGACAAGGAGAAATCCGAGAAGAAGAAGAAGAAGATCAAGGAGGTGTCCCATGAGTGGGATCTGGTGAATAAGCAGAAGCCCATCTGGATGAGGAAGCCTGAGGAGATTACCAAGGAGGAGTACTCAGCCTTCTACAAGTCCCTTACCAATGACTGGGAGGAGCACCTGGCCGTGAAGCATTTTTCGGTTGAGGGCCAGCTCGAGTTCAAGGCAATCCTGTTTGTTCCTAAGCGTGCCCCATTCGACCTGTTTGACACTAAGAAGAAGCCTAACAACATCAAGTTGTATGTCCGTCGGGTCTTCATCATGGATAACTGTGAGGAGCTCATCCCTGAGTATCTCAGCTTTGTCAAGGGCATTGTTGACTCTGAAGATCTACCCCTCAACATCTCCCGTGAGATGCTCCAGCAGAACAAGATCCTCAAGGTGATCCGCAAGAACCTGGTGAAGAAGTGCATCGAGCTCTTTTTCGAGATAGCTGAAAACAAGGAGGACTACAACAAGTTTTACGAGGCCTTCTCGAAGAATCTGAAGCTCGGCATCCACGAGGACTCACAGAACAAGTCGAAGATTGCTGAGCTGCTGAGGTACCACTCGACCAAGAGTGGGGATGAGATGACGAGTCTCAAGGATTACGTGACGAGGATGAAGGAGGGCCAAAACGACATTTACTACATTACGGGCGAGAGCAAGAAAGCAGTCGAGAACTCACCCTTCCTCGAGCGGCTCAAGAAGAAAGGCTACGAGGTTCTCTTCATGGTGGATGCTATTGATGAATACGCTGTAGGCCAGCTCAAGGAGTTTGAGGGGAAGAAGCTCGTCTCTGCCACCAAGGAGGGCCTGAAGCTCGACGAGAGTGAAGATGAAAAGAAGAAAAAGGAAGAGTTGAAGGAGAAGTTTGAAGGGCTATGCAAGGTGATCAAGGATGTTCTTGGCGACAAGGTCGAAAAGGTAATCGTGTCTGACCGTGTGGTGGATTCGCCTTGCTGTCTGGTGACTGGGGAGTATGGCTGGACGGCTAACATGGAGAGAATCATGAAGGCACAGGCCTTAAGGGACTCGAGCATGGCAGGCTACATGTCGAGCAAGAAGACGATGGAGATTAATCCGGAGAACTCGATTATGGAGGAGCTGAGGAAAAGGGCTGATGCTGATAAGAATGATAAGTCGGTCAAGGATTTGGTGCTGCTGCTGTTTGAGACTGCTTTGCTCACGTCTGGCTTCAGCTTGGACGAGCCTAGCACGTTCGGGAATAGGATTCATAGGATGCTGAAACTTGGGCTGAGCATTGATGAAGATGCTGAGGAGGGTGATGCGGATATGCCGGCATTGGAGGAGGCTGATGCGGATGCTGAGGGAAGCAAGATGGAGGAGGTTGACTAAGCTTCGACTTTGTCTAGTGATTTTGAAAATCAGGATGATCTTTTTTATTTTTATTTTTTCTGGGTTAAGAATTATGTTTTGAGGTTTATGTGTTGCATGAGCTCTTTGGATTGTGGGACAACTCTATATTATTAGCTATTTCAAATGTTCAACTTGTCACTTTTGTTAGTAGTTAAAAACTGTTGCCATGATGATATATGGTTATATTTGAAATTTGAGGTTTCCATGCATGTGTTCATATAAGTAGCTCCGACTGTTAAAAGGGTCTTGTTGATAGAGGTTGATTTTGAAATATGATCGAATTGCACAATTTAGCTCAGTTTCTCGTTTGTTTTATGCATTTGGGTTGCTAGGAGCTGAAAAAATCGAAAATTTGAACTAGTAGAAAAACAATAACAGCTCCGCTACACATACCAAAATGAATCGAAACCGAACCTAGAAGTTTACACTAAAATAACAACGAATTGCACAATTTAGCTCAATTTTTTCGACTTTCGCTCAATTTTGCTCACCTCTAGGCTCTATCCCCATTCATGCATTTCTACTATCTATTGATGAAACCAGGAAATTCACTATTCCTTCTCTTGGTGGAAAAATTATGAATATAATAAACGTAGCTCGGTTATGTGAAAACTCATAACCCGTCTTACAACTTTTTAACAAAATTATTATATAGTTATGTTATGAAATATCATACTTTTTTTTTTTACGAAAATAGAAACGATGCCGACCCGAGCTTGATATCTATATATTCCATGTTTTATATTTCTCAATATTTCATATTCCTAGACACTGAAATGTAACCTAGGCAGGTGATTATCATATTACAGTCTTCTGAAACAATTATTATTATTAGTATTATTAAATTATGATGATGACGAGGAACCAACTCAACCCATAAAAAATGAGCTAGTCCCCAAAGAGAAAAAAACAGAGGAAAAAGATGAAAACGGTTTTAAAATCCTCACCTTAGCCATTTCTAGTCACAAGAAATGACATTCGCGCGCCCAAAATGATGGCAAAAGAAGCCAAAAGCCCCTAACAAACCCAGAAAATGTTCATTTTAGCAAAACTGATCACCAGAATCCAAAGGCCTATAAATACTCCCTTCCCCCAATGCTTTTCAAAAACACTCACCAAACCATCACAAACAATTATCAGCCAAAGCCCACAATAACTATCCCAAAAAAAAAAAAAATCAAAAAATCAAAAAACAAAAGATGAAAGGCGGTGTTCTTGCCGTGATTTCCATCCTAGCCGTTTTCTCATTAGTCGTCCAACCGGGCCAGGCCGTGACCTGTGGCCAGGTGGACTCGGCCCTGGCGCCGTGCATTGGTTACCTTCTTGGGACTGTGGGCAGCCCATCTCAACAGTGTTGTGCTGGCGTTCGGGCCGTAAAGGCTATGGCCAAAACGACTGCCGACAAGCGGACTAGTTGCAACTGTGTCAAGGCTGCTGCCAACCGGTACCCCAACCTTAAGGACTCGGCAGCCCAGAGTTTGCCGACAAGGTGTGGTGTCCGGCTGGATATTGTAGTTTCGCGAAACGTGGACTGTAGCAAGTTAGTGTCCTTCATAATCCGTTTCTTCGTTTCTTTTTCCTGATTTTTTTTTTTCTTTTTTTTTGGGTGTGCGACAGTTTTTGTTATGTCGACAATTTTTGGTCGTTAAAATTTGTCACATTTTATTGTGACAGGATCAACTGAGTTGGGTGTGTCAATAGTTATTTATCGTTAAAATTTGCCGCGTTTTTCTGTGACAGGATCAAATGAGGCATGGGATAGGGACGAAGAAGAAGCAAAAGGAGCAATAATAAAGGAGTATGGAAATGGAATGTTTGAATAGCTATGGATTAAAGTATAGTGAGTTATGAGACTTAGGGTAATGAGAAAATAAAGTTCTTTACCGTGGATTGAGAACTCCATGTACATTCAATGAAAATTTCATCAAGCTTTCATTGTCTTGAAGCCTTATATATATATATATATATAAACTTCTGCTTTCACTGTAATGGGTTTTGTTTTCATCGGCTTACAGCTCCATGCACTGTTACTAATCATTCTCAAAATTTCATCGCAACCTATCAAAGGTTTCGTCAGAGCCATTGCAATATACCAAGACGAGCAATAGAGCACATAAAATTCACACAGCATTATGAAACAGTAAATACCAAAAAAAAAAAAAATGAATACCCAAGGGTGAATGATATCCATGAGCCTGTAAAATAGTTAATGTGAAGGATTTCAATATCAGCTTCAACCAGATCAAAAGAGTGTCATCTTGTCAGTAAAAAAAAAAAAAGGAACAGAATTTACAGAGGGTACAATGTTTTTTGGTCTAAATAAATGTAATTAAACATGCTCCATGGGACAAGAAATGCCCATCTTCAAAAGCAGCTGTCTAAGGCTATGAAGATCGAAAAATGACTAGTTAATATCTCCAGCCCGACTCAAAATCTCCTCTTCTCTTTTAACTGTATCTCCTCAACCCATGGGGTGGCGTCTCCTACACATTATTCGATTCAAAGTAAGAATTTAGGGATAATTACAGAAGCTTATACCTGGGTTTTGCTCTATCTACAAATCTATTTCATATTCATATAAAACAAAAAGGAAGAAAGGCAAAGAAAAAGAAACTCACACATAATTACAAATGGCCAATAATATTTTGAAATTACAAGCAAGCCATAATAAATTCTTAGAAATACGTCCTTGTTGGGTCTGCTATTTGCAATAAAGAATCAACTTACCATTCATTGTTTTCAAAGATACCTGCATATTTCTGTAATTTACTAGAGCATAAGTTCTTCTATTAATTACCGCAAAAAATTACTGGTCGAACTACTTAACCACACTTTTCCTCAATTCATTAAGAATAAAAACATTTTAAAAAAGACAATTGCAGTGTACACACTTATAATGAAAGAAAGATGTAGAAGGTGGAAAAAACAGCACACACCACCAGCACCCACATTATAGCAAGTCAAAAGTTTAACAGCAGAAAACGTAAAAGGAGAAATCAAGTGCAACCTCTTGGGTCGGATACTACGGTCTTCCTCAAAGTCCATCACTCCACCGTGCTCGGAAAAAAGTTCCTCAGAGTGCGCTCTGAACTCAGCATCGGCCTGCTAATTTGTAACCTCTGCCACAACGTAAGACACATCGACCAATATATATATCCAAAATATCTATATATTTGTTCATGCGAGACGAAAAAAGCCAAAAAAAAAAAAAAAATTTGCAGGTAATGAAGTCAAACATAAGAAAAAAAATCTCACGTATGGATTTACAAGAGTAAACAGTCAACATTTCATGTCTCGGGGTCGAGGATACATCCAACTATTTGGTCGATCAAAAAATTTATTGGAATCAAATAGGCAAAAAATCAGCAAAATCAACCAGAAAAATTAAAAATGTTAAATATCCACGAAGTATGGCCGCTATCATTCAACCGAGAAAACCCTCGACAACAGACAGCATGAACAAATGCTGTGACAAGAAACTGACCTTAAAAGAAAGCGTTTTCTTCACTTCCTCCACCCTTTCATCGACTTCCTTCCTGTGCTTCTTACCCATCTCATTCATAGTATCTGCCCATTTTATCTTCTCTTGGATTGAACCAAGAAGGCTTTCTGATGTAGATAGCCTAAAATTGTGTGGTCAAAACCAAGTATCCACAATTTAGGAAATGTACATGATGCTCAATGAACAAGGAAATATGGAAAGGATAGCCAAAATCAATAGACAACAAAACATAAAGCGCTCTCAATGTCTTTGTTTTCTCTCTCTTTTTTCCCTTTAGTTTTCAGGCAAGAAGCTATAATGAATTTGAAACACAATGAACTTGTGGGGGGAAAAAAACAAATCATTGCTCATTTTTTGTTTGAGTTTTTCATAGAAAGAATAAATTCCTTAGATATATAGATATTAAAAAAATCTAGGACGCAAAGAAGTTAATGGCCAAGTAACACTAAAATCAACATGATCCAACTCTATTAGGCAAGAGGGATTAACCAGTTCGCTAGAGTCTGAATCATGCTACCCAAATTTCCAGGCCTAAGATCTCTTCCTGCTGCAAATTGCACCTACAAGTTCACCGACAATCAATTAGATTAGCTACCAAGTAAAGGTATGATGATAAGCAGCTTGGCAGCCAGAAGATGAATACTAGTGACAACATTAAAAAGCAAGACCTCGAGGCATCTTCGGAATTGATCCAGCTTTCCTCTGATTATCCCCTGTCAACCAGACCAGCAATAAAACAAAGAATCGTTATAATTTCTTCATTCTAAGTGCCCCTATAAACTTTACACTTAATAAAACCAATGTTACTAAGGCGGATGGCAGTAAATGGCGGCAGGCCAGAGTCCCGCCACTGCAGCCACCGTGGCGGCCTATGGCGCCGCCATAACCGCCATCCTTCACAAATTTAGCATGGCTGTTTGTCAAAAAACCGCCACACCATACCTCCATGGCCACCATTTGATAACACTGAATAAAACAGGCCATTATTCAATGGGAACAAAAACAAAAAAAAAAAAAAAATCAGAAGAAACAGAAGAACAGGCAAACCCATTGAAAACTACTTCCCTACAATGCAAGTTCATTAAAGGGAAAATGACACTAGGATTTATTTAAATGGGTGGTAACCAAAAGCGTAAACTTACCACATACATGCAGTCATTAATCAGAAAATCTTCCAACTCACGTACATTGGTGACATCCAACTCCTTCATCAATGTATCATATGGCAATACCTGGGTAGAAGTCAATAAAAATGCTTAAGAGTGTCAAGACATCCACAAATCTTCTGACGAGAAATGGGACAGAGACAAAAATAAAGTTCTATAAACTCATATTCAACAATTTGATTAAAAAATAGATTGGAAAAAGAAATACAGAACCAAAAAAACCAAATACACTGGCCACGTCAATGGTAAAACACTGATGTCTTAAATATTAAAACTCAGGTAAAAACCAAAAAGTTAGAGCTCTACACGGTGTAAGGACATTTTATTAAAACTGTAACTAACATCAGGCACAGAAGACAGAAATTGCCAGTAACAAAAAGGCCACTTACGCTACTCCTGTCCAACATAAGTAACACTGCCTTGTTGCAGTTGGTAAGTATAAATTTTGGTCCTTATATAACATTTTCCAGTGTATTTTACGGAAAAAACATCGACCGTATGTATGTCAGTATGTGCTCTATGATTATGCATATGTATATATACATCTAGAGACAGAGAAAGAGAGTTGGGTAAAAATGTAAAACAAGCATCTAACTCATTCAAGTCAACTCATAAAGATACATAGAAAACTACCTTGGTTGTCTTAGCCAGAGTGAGCACAGTCAGCTGCTTCAATTTGAGAACTTGATCAGGAACCAATTGAGGAAGATGACTGGAAACACCTGCACAGTATAGATTATCATGTTACTTCACTCATAAATTGAAAATAATGCATTTCATAAAAGGAGCACTCCACATTATATATTAAACTTTCACCCAAACCAATGCTCAATGTTTATATAAGTTCCTGGAGATGTACACTCGAGAGCAAATCTGTCGTGCACATTAACCTAAACAAGGAGGAAGAGGAACCAACGACCGTTACTGCATTACCGATAATTCAATGTCAAATTTAAATTTACTGCCTTCACCTAACCATAATTCAATCTCCGGGAGATTTGTTTAAAATTACAAGTGAATAGAATACACATAAAAAATAGGCATATAAACTTTCTTGAGGAGGTATGGCTCCTCGTTCCAGAAACAGAACAAAGCTCAGTGGTACAAACTAGCACCCGTACCAATGAAATGCATAGAAAAATACTATTTATTATCATTATATATCTCTGTTTTGAATGAAATCGATGAGAAGCTCACTGATTATTGAATATGCAAATTCAACCAAAATTTATGACTAGTTGTATGGTTAATATGACTGGTATTTTCCATGGTAAACTATAACTAAACAAACTAGAGCGGCAGTTTATGCTAAAGTAACAATCAACAAAGCTGAATAAATAATAAAGAATGAAGCAGAAAAAAAAAAAAAAAATGAACAAATGAAGACTAACATAACATGGATCAAACATCAGTGAGTTGACTGAATGCTTACTCTTGTATTCACTCCATGTTCCATGTGCAAATATGCGAAGCAACTCGAGTAATACACTGTTCTCAGTTCCTTCAAGCTGCAAACAAATCCAAACATCCAGACAATAAAAAAAAAAAGGGTTTCAAGCAAATATCTCAAGTTAATTCGAGCTCACGCATAAACA